TCCAGTTGCTAAACTTCAGAAAAATATTTTTTGAGACTTTTCGACAGGATGCAGCTTCACACCTAGAGAAAAATGCTTTCTGCTCTTCAGAGACATTCAATATTTTTAATTCTACAGCCAGCTTTTAAGTATTTTCTGAAAAAAAGAAGAATATGTTTGCTCATGTTTTGCGTAAGAAGTTTATGATTTGTTCAGCCCTTCTTGTACTTGAAAGAACAAACAGATCAATGAAGAGTACCAGGCATGCCAAGACTGCCTTTGGAGAGCCACCCTGCTCCCACAGTTGCCATCTGTGGTAACAAACAGCACACACAGGACAACCCCTTGCACAGCCAGGGCTTGGTTCCAGAATACACCAGCCTCCCTGCTCCTGAACACTTCTGATCTGTATCACTGCACTGCTCACCATGACAAAGGACACAGGGGGATGGCAGGACAGTGGAAGGCAAGCCGTGCTCACCTTTGAAAGGTCACCTCATTGCCTGGCAGAGCCCACTGCCCACACACCTGAGACCTCAGGTACAACCCTCAGCATTCCCGCTTGCTTCTGCACATTACACAGAGGGATAGCCTCAAATATACTCAAGGCTTGGAAGAAAAAGGTTGTTTACTTTCAGAAGTACCAAAGCACCACCTCCTAGACAATGAAAATCCCAATACTACCGTGACTCCTTCCCTATCCTTTCCTCCATTCTCACCCAAAACTGGGTATAGATTTTTGACAGACCGTTTTCAGCAGGCAGCAGTGCTGTGCCAGGTATTTTGAGAGTTAAACATGTGTATTACAGCTTGCATTATATGTCACAGATCATCCTCAATGGACAAGTAACCTCAAAATTCTAGGATTAAAAAAACTCCCCAACCATAGTATCATTAAAGAAATCATAACCCAATCATACTCCACCTTACTCTCCCTAAAAATTGACACCACACATCCCAGTGGCTTTACATGAAAGTTATCCTTCTTCTTCCAGCAGCCAAGTCCCTAACTGCACCTCGGAGTGAGCCCAGGGACCCACTCCTCCTTGAAGTGCACCAAGGAGCTCATCCACCACAGCAAGTCTGAAGGACATTGCAGCAATGCAGTGCAACACTCAGCAAGTCACCTTTGTCCCCAGTGACACTTCAGAGGAAACTGAGGTAGCAGAGACATATTTCATTGGAAACAGCAGAGCAGTGCACTAATTTGAAAGGCTGCTCAGCACGTTGCCCTGCCAGAAAGAAGAAAATTTCCTTTGACTCAAACTAAACTTCTAGCTCTTCAGAGGCGCTAAACAGTAACGCTGTACCTCTGTGGTCCTCCTAACATGCAAAGCTACTCCAGACCACCCATTCTGATCCCGTTCTTAAAGTGCTCCACTCAGCTAGAGGTGCACTTCATCCAGCTGACAGCACAAACTCCAGCTTCCCTGAAATCTTTTCAGCTTGTTTAGAAGCATCCAGCACAGGCACTGGCCTAGATTAGGAGCGCAGTTATGCACACACGAATGGCCTTGACCCACTTCTCGTCACATCGTCCTGACTACTCAGAGCTGTGAACTCTATTTATTATTAGCATCAGAACAAAAGCCTGTGTATGTACATAAGGCCTGACAAATACCCACTCACTGCGCAGGCAAGGAATGAAAAGAATTGTTCTATTATTTCCCATCATCATCATCCTCCTCTCGCCAACCCACTGAGTGCCACTGCTACTGAAATACCTTTGACTGGCAGCGTTTGCCTCCCCTTCAGAGCAGATGCCACAGGGCCTGGTGAGTGAGTTGGCACTAGTGGGCACTGGTGAACTGAATGTCCTTCGAGATGGACAGAAGAACTCTTAATATTCAAGTAAGCAGAAACAGCTTAATGTGGGTTTCCCTCTACAAAGCAACAAATAGTTTCCCCTCCATAAAATATACCATATGCAAAGCAGAGATTCAACCAAAGTCAAACAAATAAGAGCACAGTTTCTCCTTCAGAAACATTTGTGAGTTTCAGCTCTACAGCTTACAAGAAAGGTAAGCAATTCCCAGGTACAAAGTAAAAAAATAAGACTCATCCCATCACAAAAAGCAGCAACATTGCTCTCCAGTGCATTAAAGCACCCCTGATAGCAGCAGCACTTTTCATGCTTTGTCATCACAAGCTCTCTACAGGACTCTAATGCAGCTCACGCTGAGGGGCATTAAATGTAGAAGGTTGAGATTGGCTAAAGGGCAGAGCAGAGGTTTTACAGTTCATCCCGAAGGCACATGTGCTGCCTGAAATTGCCGTGTAAATCTAAAAATAAATAAATTGAGCTTGTCTAAAAGAAAGGGATTTGTTCCACTGTTCCTAAATGACTGTGCTATTCCTCTTTTTGATGAGGAGTATGTATGTGCCCCAAAGGCAACCTTCTGCCTTCATGTTGCCAGAGAACTTTTTAAAATGTAAGCAAATACACGAGTTTTGCTTCTAGGATAAATAAAGCTTAACAAGGCAAAGGTTATTGCATTTGTGCTCCCTGATGACATCATGCAACTAGGATCCTCATCCCATCCAAGCAAGCTGATGACCTGCTCAGTAAACTCCATGCCAGACTAGATCTACCACAAAACCTGCCCTTTCAGCTGTAGACCCAGGCTTAACCATTAGAGTAACTATTGATTTCAAGAGTTATTTTAATACATGACACTGACCGGCATTCAAAGCACTTCACGCAACTGCTCCAAAGTCTTTCTGGCTTATTCTTTTGTAGACACAACTTGGAAACACTGCTCTCCTACCTGTGAATTTCCTACCCTTCAGTACACAAAACTTACAGCACTGGCCTAAACACAAGAACACTAGTCTGTCAGCTCAAAACATGTTTTGAAACCAAAGTTACAACTACGACAGATTTCGCAATGATAATCGCCAAGCACCAAGCGCAGCGCTGTAAGGAAAAGCCTTACTTCAAACTTCCCTCAGAGTGACAAAACAGGGAGGTAGCAGGTACCCTCCAGTGCTTCAAATTGTATAGAAAGACCACATCCTTCCTTTTCTTGCAGACACCAATGCCCCTGCTCATATAACCCCTGAAAGCTTTCTCCCACAGCAGAATTGCCACACGCAGCTCCCCACTGACACGCAACACCCACAGCCCTTCACACCAACACCCTGAAGCAGAAGAGCAGCCACGTGAGAACAGCAGCTACGTGAGTGCCTGTGCGTAGCACAAGGAACAGCAGCCACCCCTTTAGAAACCACTTTCAAGAAGAAGCACAAGCCAAGTCTCTCAGGGTGGGGACCTGCACTCTCATCACCTCACCCAGCTGGTGTGGTCACAGAAAGGCAGTCCTGGTCTTGCCGTGACCCTCTTGGCTCTGCAGAGCCTTCTCTGCCCTTCTGCTGGCACATGCCTCAACTCCACACGACTGTACAACAGGACAGGCTGTACAGACCTCCCCAAAGATCCAGCCAGAGACCCATCTGTAAAAACAGCACCCTCTATTTGAAGGCAGGTGTAGAAAGGAGAGGAAAAATGTCCCTTTTTTTTTTTCTCTCTCTCTCCTGTTTATGTCAAATGTCTTTGTTTAAGCATTTATCATTACACAACCCTTCTGTTTTTCACAGTCTAACAAAGACCTACATGCACGGAGGTGGTGCAAGAGCAGTCAACCACTGGTTGCATTACAGTCAGGTAACCCAACTGATTTTCATACCGTGCCTCTCCTCTTCTCCTACGCCTTCTTGCAGGGGGGAAGAACTTTCATTTCAACACCAGCAAGTGGCTCAGGAGACATGAGTTCAAGTTCTTGCACCACTTTCCAGTTCCTGTGGGGTCACAGATGACCCATATACTTGCTTCTGCTTTTATTCCCCACCTGCAAAGGGAAGGCATCTTCCCCACAGCAGGAAGACAGGGCATCTTTCCACTTCAGCATGGTTTTAGAAGATTAATATAAATGAAGCCCACTCAGACATAAGCTTGGCAAGAGCATGCAAGATGTTGGAAGGGGAAGTATCACCGAGAAATGTAGTTGTAGCCACATAATTTACATTTCTTCTAAAGATATGTTTTTCCTATCAAATTTGCAGCTTTATGTTCAGGTTAGCATGTGACCAATTCCCTTTCCACAGCTGAACCCTTCCACTGTGTTATGTCAAAACAAAACATCAAAACCCCAACTTACAAGCTTTTCAAGTAAACACAGAAGAGCTGCAGGCTCTTGGCAACATCACGTTAAGCTGCAAACCATACTTCCACTGATACTCAAAAACACGCCAGGTCTGGCCAAACCAGAACAAACTTTACACTAATCACCAGATTGAAGAAGCACTAAGCACATTTTCTTCCCCTCCACAGCGAGACAGTGTATGAATTTTGCTCTTTGATTCTGTGTCAGAACAGCATCAGCCTCGAGTTGTGTCTGACATGCTCTTTTTGTGTCCTTATGAGATGCAAATAGATACAAAGTTGTTCAGCGCAGAGACGTCAGATACAAAACTGCTCAGCACAGGCTGAGCATTGAAATTTGGTCTGTTAACAACTACCACAGACCCAGAACAGACTAAGAGTTGGCCACATGTATTTAATACTGTTAACCACGCACAATGATAACATAGTTTTATTCAATGAAATTTTTTTTTTTTAAACTTCGATGGAGCCAAGGTTCTGTTAGAGCCAACTACTGGTTAAATAGTTCCACTCTTCTTCCCACAGCTAGTAAACATGAGTATTTTCTTCCATTTTTCCTTTTTCTCCAATTTTTAGGTGGTTACCCTGTCCTTACTGATGTCATGAAGGAGTGTTCTCCAAACCAGTTGTTCCTCAGCGTCCTGAGTATCAGCTTTATGTAAAAACCGAGTGACTCCCCCACCCCCAGCCCGGTCTATTAGTCTCTCTCAAGCCAGGCTGTTCCACTGCGTGACTCTGACAAACAATCTGCCACTTCAGCAAATGCACCAACCAGAGCCACCACACAAATCAGCCTGTAAAGGAGAGCATGTGCGAGAGGGATCTCCCAACTGCAGCTGCCACACAGCTCCTCACTTACCCAGTCGTGCAGGGGTGGTGGAGGGTTCAACACAGGCTGCCCCAAAACCTCTGAATGCTAGACGGTGAACTGGAGTTCAGAGAAGCTTCTTAATTTTGAAGAGAGAAAAAAGATGCTAAGACTGAAAAAGAAGGAAGAGAGTAAATTAAGGGATATGAGATCTGAAGCAGAAAGGAGAAAGCAAGAGGGAAATTATTGTGAGGACCTGGTGAGATGACTCTCCCGCCTCTAACTTTTGGGAAGCATCAGCATACCATTTTAATTAACAATACTCAAGTGCTGAAGACAATATAGCAACATTACTCTTGAGCATTATGGACACAGAAGTGACACTTCACCTGCCAAAATCATCCCTGGCAAAATTCCACCAACATCAGTGGAACTACATCAAGCATGAAATTGGCCCACAGTTGCATTAAGACAAAAAAGGCTTTGTTTCAGGAGATATGGGGCATTTGTGATTCTTTATAATAAAGCTCAGCAAACAATTGTTTATTGTCCCTGAGCAAATATTGCTGACAACAAGCAAGCAGCCATCACATTTGTCGCACACACTGTCTGTCCATGTATTGCTAGGAAAACAGCTATCAGTAAAGCAACAGATTCTCAGTGTCCGGCTCGTATCACAGGGAATCTAAAGACAGTTTAAATGCCTCTCAAATTGCCTACCAGATCCACAAGCAATCATTCTCATTTTCAGCAACCTTCTTCCATGCTCCTACTTCTCTTGCTAAGTCTGTGGAAGTTGAATATCCTGACTGGTGCTACGGGACTTAGCACACACATAGGAGTACCACAATGCAGAGCAGCTCTGCTGCCAGTTATTCAACAATACTCCCACCACAAACTATACACAGTGACCACACTAGGCTCACACAGAAGCATCTTTTCCTCCTTTTGTTGCATTTTTGTGCGACTATGCGAATTCTCAGCGAAACCCCAAAAGTTCACATGTTGCTGCCTCTCTCTTGAGTTTGCCACAAGCATGCCCTGGACTTACAGACTCTGTTCCAATGCCAGCCACGGCTGTACACCGTACTCGCACAGTATTGATTTATGCCAGAACTCATTAAGCTATGAAAAAAAAATCCAATGGCCGAAGCAAACAAGTAGTTCAGTCTCACAGAGCTCCTGTGCTGCACCCTCTCCCCTCGTGCACCCCCAAAACACGTTTATCCATACAGTTATCCTGGCCAGCTGTGCAGCCTTTCACCCCAGTGCACAGGAAAACCTGGATATTTGGATTCTCCTGGTCCTTGAGGGAAACTTTGACAGATCCAGGTTGGAGCGGTGGGAGCACAGGAGACAGCAGCTCCTCGGGGCTTGCCCCGCTCCAAGCTTCTACTTGTTTTAAAGATCTGTAAGGAAACAATCCAGTGCCCACACCAGAAGTTCAGCTGCTCCTAATACCCATTTCACAGGGCAGCACTCAGAGGAAATAAAACATGTATAATTCTTATCCGCCTTACCTTTTCTTTCCATCCACCACCACGCTCCCCCGGCCCCACCAGCCCGCACCTATGGAGCCGGCCGGGCTGTGGGGGTGCTCCCACCGCTGCAAGAGTCACCAGAGAATCAAACCTGCCCCACGGAGAAGCTGAAACACCCACGGGCTCCAGGGCCCCGGAGAACCTGGGACACCCGCGGGGGGCGGCGGGACCGGCAGCACCCCCGGTGCTCCGCACACCCTCCTGGTTGTTCCCCCTTCTTTTTATGCAGAGCCGCGATGAACTCCTCGTGTTTCCCCTCGCGACTGAAGGCGAAGAGACGTGGCTCTGCCGCGGAGCCCCCACGGCCCGGGGTGGGGGGTCCCCGGGACCCCCCCGCTCCCCTCCCCGCCGTCCCTCATCCCCCCCGGGCTGGGCTGTCCCGCTGCTCCGCGCCAGCGCCTTTGTGTGCGGAGCAGACACAGAACCTACCTCGGCGGGGCGGCTCTGCCCGCCCGGCAGCGCGGGGGTCGAGGGCAGGGGGAGCCGAGGAGGGAGGCTGGGAAGGAAGGAGAGGAACGGCAGCCGTCCCGCTCGGTGCCCGCCGGAGTGTCCGCCCGGCCCCGCCACACGCGCGGAGCCGGCCCGGCCGCGCCTGAGGGGAGCGGCGGGGCGGGCCGGGGGCGGGCCCGGCGCTGAGTCACCGCCGCGGCCGCCCCGCCGCCTCCTTTGTTGTCAGGCGTGGAGAAATCCGAGGCGGCGGGGATGGCTGGGGGGAAACCCCGAGGGAAACGGGGGGGGGAAACGATGTGTGCGGGGCAGCGGTGAGCCCGTGAGGCGCTTCTCCCCGGGAGGGACAGCACGCGTGGGGCACCGTGAGAGACGGGAGCCACGGGCGGTCCACAAAGTCCTGCTGAGGCCGCGGCCCCGCTCACCTGCAGGAGACACCCCTCCCTCCTCATGGAAGAAAATCACCTCCCGGCTGTGCCTGCCTTTAACTTTCCCCGAGTGGTTCTTTCCCTTTTCCCGTGTCCGCGTGGATATTCCCACCGGTCATTCTGTAGGAATCAAGGTCCCCATGCAACTAAGAGACCAAGAGGTCACGACCAGCCAGCCCAAACGTGCCTCAGTGTACCCAAAATCTAGCCTTCTAATGAGTTACTACATAATGGGGACATGAGAGAGAGCCTGGGGCACAGCATAGCATGCGCAGACTTTGGGAGTGAACCCAAACAAAGACAGACTTTTGGGGATGAAATGTGTGTTTATACACTGGGGTACATGCTGGGATTAAATAGATTTCTTTTGTGTATTTATCACTAGGATTATTTTGTGTTTCTTCAAAGCAGATGACTTGAATCATTGCATAGCAACTGGAGTCATCTCAGGGATGGAAAGCTTCAGCCTGATCTCAAGAGCTCAATAACTTGAGGAGCTGAACATTCAGCATCACTGGGGCTGCACAGGCAGGCCCTTCCTCTCCAAAACCCCCCAACCCCAAAAGTCCCAGTAAGAAGGTTGTTGGGTGCTCAGTAGATGGTGCTGTTTCCACCGAATTCATCCTCGATAACCCACTGCCCCCAAAATGTGTTGTTCGTGTTCACAGTATCAGCCCTGACAATGGGCACCTTCATTCCTCAGTGCCTTTTCCTTTGCAGGAGTGTTGTCAGATATAGTTACTCTGTATGTGGTGCTCATGGATACTGTATGGAGAGAAACCTCATAAAAATTGATTTTTTTTTTTTAATAAATGGGGTAAATGATGTGACTAGATGAATGCAGCAGTATAAATATTGATTAGTTCCCTCTTCTGTGAACAGCCCTCAGTCTGAAGTATGGGAGGGGGAAATGGTGTATGACCAGGCAATTGTAAACAGCAATGAAATAAAATGAACTGCAAAGCCAGCGGAATGCTGGATTTCCCTATCTTTTGCATTCTTGACCTTACAGACCTCTCCATATCATTTCTGTATGCAAGCATTAACCATGCCTATTCTAAAGACACTCTGTAGCCCTAATCAAGTTTTTATCTCTCTTACTTAGGCATTGCACAGGCAGTTGTCCCTGCTCTGAAACTTGACACTTTGCGTCAGTGTTTCCCAGCCCTTCCTCTGCTCGGACAGTTGTTTTGCTGTGATACGTATGATACTCCCTGCAGATCCTGCACATCCACACCTTTAAATGAAATGCAACACTTTGCTTAAGCAAAATTAGAAAAAAATTCTGGATATCTCGCCATGTTTTTTTCAAAAGAGCACAAGTGTTTTACATGGTTGTAACTACTTTGTTCCAGACTTGCATTCAGTTCAGGTGTGTGGTGTGTGGTGTGTGGCATCACTGGCAGGTGCAGATTTAGCAAAGTCCCTCCCCACACAGACTATTATTTTATCCTCCATGAAATGACTGTAATGCTGTGCAACCCCTAAGCTACCATGGCTGTATCCGGACTTGAAAAGTATTGCTGGACATAACTGAGAAAGGAAAAGATTTAGGAGGGGCAGAAAGTTGAAGGAATAACCAAGAGCACACCTGAGGACCATTGATGGCTCATATGAGCATGCTATCCTGGTTTCTTAATTCATCACTCAGTGCCTCACACAAGACAGTGGTCAAGTGATAGCTCTGAGTCAAACATCTCACAAGCAATTGAAGGGATATCTTGAGTCATCACATTGCCTGGTTTTGGTACAAGAGCTGCCTTGTAGCCCAAACCCCTGAGTCAGTCCAGCTCAGCTCCAGCCCGTGAGTGAGGAACAGGGTCATATGAAGAGTCAGTATTGTCTCCCATCTGTGAGCCACTCCAGTTTCTGGCTTTCTTATTCCTCCTTTAAGGCACATCATATGTGTCTCTTGCCTTTTGACCACATGAAAATTACAGTGTGTGGCTCATGTGATGAAGAGACTTGGCCACAACTGCATTTTACTCATGGCAAGCCTTCTCTCCCCCAACACTTTGAAACTCCAGAAAGTACTCGAGAAGGCCTCAGGGATCCTTCTAGATGAAAAGCAATATATAAATATAAGATATTACCAGTTATTTTAAATGAAAAGCAGTGTATTGGAATAAAAAAAAAAAAAAAAAAAAAAAAAAAAAAAAAAAAAAAAAAAAAAAAAAAAAAAAAAAAAAAAAAAAAAAAAAAAAAAAAAAAAGTAATAAACTGGCCTCATTTTGGAACCACTCTGACAGAGAGTGATGCACTGGAAATACTTAACATGGTAAATCCCCTTTTTATTAACATTGTAGCCAAAAGTGCACAGTCATTCTATTGTGTAAGTGTCATGGGACATATGTGGTATGTAGTTTGGCATTTTGGTATCTCATGAATCAAGTATTACATACTTTAATTGCCTGTTGCTGTTTGCATTTCTTTTTAGCCAAACTGCAGAAATAAAAGCAAAATCTTCCTTTAATTATTTGAGTTGTCCTCTTTGTGAGGCAGGGAATTGCATTTTACTCCATGCTTGCACCATACCTGGCCTTTGAGTGTTACCACATTATAACCTTAAATAATAGTAATAACAACTTTACTGTGGCAGAAACAAAGTGGAGTCAGCTGCTGTGGGATTCCCCTTGCTTAATTTTAGCTGTCTGAAAGCAGACATCTCGTCTAAGCAGGTCATGTGAGCTAGGAGGAGAGGTAGGTACCTCCAGAGGGAGGTCCCTGCCTCCTTCCTCAGGTGTCTGTATTAGAACTGGATTCATTTCTTCTGGAAGTGCTTCTGCTCATTAAACAAGGCAGCACCTGAACAGCTTCAGCTGGATGCCTTCCTCAGAATTTCTTTAGTTTTTTGTAATTCCTTTACCCAAAGTGGAAAAATGCCTCCTGGTTGCCTGCTCCCATTTGTAAACAAGAGCTGAGGGCTGCCTGTACACCAGGATTTTTATTCCAGGTAATAATGGTGAAGCACTCACATGAATTATAGGAGAATGTGGTTTTTCTTTATTCCCCTGTAGCCACTTTAAACGTTAATTTTTCTAGATTTTTAATTTAATAGAAGTAAATCAACTGAAATGCAAGTTGTTATGTAGGTTTTTTCCATACCATAATTCTGCAGAAACATCAGTTAAGTATCCGAAGGAACATCTGCTATGCACATAGATATATGAATACATATAGAAGCTGAACAATGTGACTTCAGAGCTTGCAGAGTTTTCTTTACACAAAGCCAGGGGCATAAAAGGGATTTCCTCCAAGTTTTCCTGTGTATTAATAATGAAGATCAGGATGCCACCTTTGTTTCCTCCCTTCTGAGCATACAGTGAAAGGAAATGGTTCTGGATAGAATCACGAAGAGCAGTGGAAAAAAACAGACTACACTCCACGCTGGCACTCAGAAGTTTAATTATCCAGCATGCTGCATCTTTATGGAAGAAGGAGACAGATAAATCCCATATGTTAATAGTTGGCCCCCTGTGGCTGACCTTTGGCTCAAATATTCCATATTGTGATTAATGTCGCGCAGTTGGATCCAAAACATGCTCATTCCCCAGGCTTCAGGGAAAAAAAGGAGATTTAATTTACCTTCCAACAGCAGAGTTTCATTTGATCGCTCTTTCGGAGACTGATTTTATCCCTGCCTGTAGTCTGGCCTCTTAAGAGCTATTCTGTGCTTCCTCTGCTAGGACTCTTAAGACCCAGCTTCTCATATTGCCTCCACCACTGGCTCACTCAGCAACTTGAAATAAGTCATTTTGCCTCAGGTTCTGTTCTCTTGCTCAGATAGAACAGAGAAAATAACCGTAACTTCCTTGCTGGCACAGTTTGAAATTTGCGGATGGAAGACACTAAGCAAGGTTCATCTTCAGACAAAATTGTGTGTTGACCTCTGGAATCTGGAGGTCTCACAAGAATAGCTCAGAAAATCATATACATGCTTGGATTGTGGTTTTCTGGCCACCTTCTGTCCTAATCTTTCAGTTCTTATGTGCTGTAGGTTGTGTTTGTCTTCTCATGTCATTACAGTAATTTTACATCATACTAATAAAAAACCTGTACCCCTGGCCCTGGCACAGGTAAGGAGGCACCAAAATCTCTGAGCTTATGGGTCAGTTTGGTCCTGAAGGACACAGGATCCGTGGACAAGGTGCACATCCCATACATTACAAGTACACAGTGCCTAGAACTCCATGGCACTTTTCTGAGGAAATCAGATCCCCAAACATACAGCTACAGGTGGGCTCAGAGTTGTAATGAAGAACATTTTAACAGACTCAACAGCATGTCGCTGGCATCTGCTGTAGGGTCAAAGCCTTGAGGAGCTGCAATTAATAATACCAGAATTCCTCCCCATGTGACTTCTCTAGGGTGAGGTCTGACACAGAAAGTCTCATCCATAGCTAATTAAAGCCATTGCTAAAATTGCCACAGCCCTCAAGTGAGTTTAGATGGAGCCCTCATTTCAGCCTGCCTCCTAGATTAGATGAAGCAACAAAGCCTGAGGAGGGCTCCTACTCCCTTGGAGATCATAAGGAATTTTGCTTGGAGTGGGCCTATAAAGACATGCCCAGCTGTCTTCCCATGGATGACAGAGAAAAGTCTGTGAAAATACAGCTGTAGTAGCTGGAGATACAAAAAAAATGTGAGGCAAAGCCTCTGAGGAGCTCTGT